CATTTATGGGTAAAGTGAAGCAAGTTTGTTATATTTGATGTAAGAAGTTATTTAAAATTGATTTTTTGGGTAAATTTAGTAAATTTAAGTCAATTTTAACAAGCTTACAGACTTGTATTGAATGTTTAAACCACGAATTTCATAGTTAATAGATAAAATGCAAAATTAGATGACAAAATGTTGATTTTTTCAGTAAATGAAAACGTTTTATTCTAAAATAGGAGCATATAAGCAGATTTACCAAAAAAACTGCGTTCGTATTTCAGTTTAATCCAAAAGAGTTTTGTTTATTTTGTTTTATACCCTGATATTGGTTGTATTATTAATAATGCTTTAAGCGTAAGCCTTGAGATGGCGCAATGTGTACCATTTCATTCGTTGAAGGGGAAAACCGGCAGCGCGACGCCTAGGCACGCCGCCCTCGTGCAGTTTGCTGTTGAACTCTTTCCAGCTATCACGTTGGTGTGCACAGTAATCAAAAACACCCGGTTCTGCTAATACGAGACCTGCTTGTTTCGTCTTGTCCTATTGTGGCTATTAAAGACTATATGACAGTTATGTGGAATGGAATTTATTAAATTATTAGTTCTGTGTTTACAGAATTTACAAATTAATAATTATAAATTATGGTTATCTGCTTATTATTCTTAAGTGCAAGTGTTGAGTGTGGTGTGTTTAAGAGATATGAGTGATCATCCAAAGAAAGTGGATTACAATGGAAGCATCGATCTTTGTTAGGATTCTGGGACAATTGTTGATATCAGGTATTTTGTAAAAATATTTTCAATTAAAAAAAACAAAACTAGGTAATATTTAGCAAATACCTATTCATTATTGAGCATTCAACGTCTTAGATTTTTCAAATATTGTTTCACAGAGTTTTTATTTTTCAAATGAATATTATTTTTAGAAAAATGGAAAATTTTTGGAAAATTCAGGAAAATTATTCTTAAATATTTAATGTTGTAATGTCCTATGTATGATGCTGAACCTCAGCTTTGAGAATTAGAGTTACGTTGCAAATAATCACTTTGTTTTGCTGCGTTGATGTTTGTAATTAATCATTTAATGCGACAAGACATTACAATATACAATAATAAATATAATCCTTGATTTATACAATTATTGACAAAAAAAACTTATCATTAGTCATCTAAAAATATAACATTTCTTGATATTTTGTTGAATATCCAACCAAAAAAAGTTCTAATATTTCCAGTACCTATAATTTTTTTATACTTTTACATAAAAAATTGACTTTTTTTTTAAACTCCCAGTCTTAATAATTTCACACTAATTTTAACATAAATATAAATTGTGGTAAATTTTTATTATAGGTATAATATGAATGCAATTCATTAGCTCTTTTATAAAACATTATTGGTACATAAACCAAATCTAGTTTAATGGATTCCGCGCAAACTGACACATAATATGAAAATGCAAATTTGCCAACACACGTACAAATGTACCGAAATGCAGTTGCAATGAATTCATTTGCATTCACTTGTCTGCTCGTATTAAGTTGGGTCGGCTGGATATTTGCGCATTAATAAAATTGTACGTTTTTATAAGTGACAACTCATGTCCAGAATGGCACAAATTTGCATGATTTGTGGAGTTCTGGTTTAATTAGGCTATAATTCTGTCATGTAAAATGCATATAATTTATAATTACGTTTATTATGCGATTAATTTACGGGAAAGAAATTACAGAATAATTTACTTACTATAAAATAATCCACAAATCATACGAACAAAACGTTTATTTCATTTTCTACTTCTATCTACGAAGCGCCAGTTTTTCCACGGTTTTTTGACCCAAAATGTGATAAAGTACTTTACTCACGGGTATTATTTACGGGGAGAAGCTTGCACTTGCGCATTTGCCTACTGTGCAGCAACAGACCATATGAAATGCCGTGCGCCGTCAATCAAACTAGTGCTGCTGCTAGTATCGGCGCAGCACGACATTTATAATCACACTAGCTTTAACCCGCGGCTTCGCTCGCAAATATCTAAAATAATGAAGTTGCTTCCGTACGCGTCTGTAGTCACAGAAGAAGTTACAATGAAGTAGAATGGCGGGAAGTTTAAAATGGCTGAAAGTATAGTCTATGGAAGTATAGTGTACAGTCTCCATAGTGTAGTCAATTGGATTTGATGTTGACGTAGCTGTCGGTAATACAGTGTGATGGTACTATAGTACTTAGGTTTGAGCTTCATTGCTGGAATGCTAGATGGCGTTATAGTAGTCAAATAGCCAGATGCAGAGGTATTATTGGCTAAACTATTTCTTTATTTTATTTAAAAAATATATATTTTTTATTAAATAAAAAGTAGCCTATAACCATTCGGGGACCACTAAGAAAATGTGTACAAATTTTCATGAAGATCGGTTAAGTAGTTTTTGCGTAAAAGTGTAACAAACATCAGGACTTTCGCATTTATTATATTAGTAGGGATGGCTAAATACTGTTAAACACTCGATTGATTAAACGTTCGCTACGCTCGTGGCAAAAACTTTTATTCTATCACTTGATACTCAATAAACCATTTAGATGCACTTCTTATACCGACCAACTACTTTACTACTGTAAAAAATATATATTTCAATGACAACCATTTTTACAAATGAATTTATTTGAAAACAAAACCTCTTACCATATATATGATAAGAAGATGAATAGGCGACAAGTCTTATGACGTCCATTAATCATTCGGCAAACTTTTGTTGGTCTACTTTATCACTTTGACCCATTATTGTTACACGTTTTAATGTATTTAATGCTTGACACTAGCGCATATGCCCGAAATTATATCCCATTGTTGTTCTCAAAATACTTGCTAGAGTTTAATGTACGTGCGCCCCGTTATAAATCATCTCTGGTAGCCATTATCAAACCACCTCGTTGTTATTATGCACCTATTACATAATTTTAAGCAGGGGTAGAGTACGTTTTGATTTGTTTATGGCAATATGATATTTATTAACGAAATATATTTACGCATAGCGATAAATTTTCGCTTAAGGTAAAATGAATCAATTAATCTTTTGTATGGTTTGAAAAATATACTTCATGAATGCGTATTGGAAGTTTTATTCAACTGGAATATGAACTAATAATTCAATTTAAAATATCCATTTAAAATCCTTTAGAGGGAAGAATTCCAGGGAAATGTATAAGTTTGGTTTGTTTAATTTCCTCGTTCAACCAAAGCCATGTATAAACCAAACGTGCTGTGGTACGTGGTGGATTCTATCGAAGTACTTTACATTACTCTCACGTTTCTCCTATTATATTTTTTTAGTTCTTGTAACATTCTCTGAAAAGCAATGAAAAGAAGTTTAATTAACGCCTGTTATAATCTAACATGCTATTAAAATACTATTAAAATCGCCTATTTTCCACAGTTTTGAGACAGAAAAAGTAATAATCATCGACGGCCAAGGCTGTGATTAAAGTACTTTAGTCACGGGTTTTAGTCACGGGGTGGAGCTTATATGCCATGCCATATGAAATAGCATGCGCTATCGAGCGAATTTCTAAGATTCACAATACAAAAGTTCAAATAAAAAACCTAAACATGGATATATTGTAAAAATAGAAAAATTAGCGTAAGCATCACGTGCCTAAACACCCATTTATCCACTTGATACTTAATATACTTTTATGGTTGAAATACTTACGTGATAATTCAAAAATGATTAATTTTTTTTACTTTGCTGTAGATTCTGGGATAAAAAGTAGGGTTTTCAATTAAAAACTCCCATCACGCTTGCACCAGAAAAAAAGTTATAAGTCTTGAGTGCCACGCTGTTCAATTATCCAAGTGAATAAAAAACTTTCCACTTTTCAATTAATAATTAAATTTCGTTTAAAACTCTTTTAAATGATAAAATGCAGTCAGTCGAATTAAATCAAAAGTCTGGCCGCTTACATTTATAATTAATTTTGCAACAGTTGATTGTCTAAGCATTAAAAATAGAGTACATTTGTTTATAAACTATTGAAACAACGGAATTTTTAATTAGGAAATTTTAGTTTGTAAATTATTTATAATATATTTTGGTTTTATAGAATTCCTTTGCATACTTTTTCTAAATCAAAACAAAATATACAAAAATCATTAATTTGTTGAAGTTAACTTATTATTTTAATTAATTTCTTTTGATTATTCTTTAGTTTTTGGTGGAATGTAATAATGGTTTATCTTCCTACATTGACATTTTGATTGATCACATAAATAATCTTAGGATGCACATACTTCTTCACTAATTATTTACGAATTACTCTGGTTTAATAAATTTGTAGTGATTTGAACTTACAGTAAGAGGCGGTTGCATGATGAATTACATTCGTTCCGTGCCTACTCTTCAGCTTGTTGAGCCACGTAATATAATGAATTGGAAGGCAAAGCACACGAAAGCACAATTTGGCTACAGATTATCGTCCGGAAATAAGTTTGCTACCATGTTATTGTTACCACCGCTAATCAGATTTAAGTCTAAGGCTTGTACTGGTAAATACAACACTTGAATTTAATACCTATTCACTTTATTGCTAAATCACAAATTAAAAACACAAAAATTTTGATTAAATATTAAAATATTAATAATTTTGAATGTAGATATGTAAATTTAATTAATTTAACGTCTGAACTTGTAGTTATATTTCATAAATATTGTTAATGTTCACCGTGAATGTGTTCATAACCTTCAGGTGCATTAATTTAGGTTAGCGATGGTCTTATAATACGGGCATTTTATTATGCTCAGCGGAGCAATAAAACTGCTAAACAACATGCAATTGCTAACTTTTATCCTCCATGGTATACGATAAAAGAAAGAGTGATTTAAGTTTACTATAACAAACTACAAAAACATTTAAAAAATATTTATTACTTCGTTTAATATTAAATTAAACTATTTATATAAAAAACATGATTATTTTATGATAAATGTAACAGTTTTTAAATTATTTTTATTTTGTATTCGTTTTCTTAATTTTAGTAAAATCATTCATTTGTATAGAAGAAGTGTTTGGTAATTTTCGCGTAGAAGTAACCGAAATTCCTGCCTTTGAAGATTTGGCATCAATAAATAAATCAATAGAAATATTTCCGTTTTTGTATATACCGCGTAATTTAAGCGTGAAGTAGATGAGACTACAGCTCAATCCTATTGCGTATGTGAATAAAGACCCAAAAGTTAAGTGAAGATTGTAGTACGCCTTCATACTTATAACAATATCATCTATATTTACTCTTAATGTAGTGTACTCACAACCGACAAAATTATTTTCAGTCTCGTTTTGTTCTTCAGTATAATCAGTAAATTTTTCAGATTTTGTTACTTTTTCTTGCTTCTTTTCCTCTTTAAAAATAGCTTCGCACTTGTGAAAGTCAACGGTGCCATTCTCTTTCCGTATAAATGTAATTTTAAAAGAAAACCGTGAATTTTGTTTGCAAATGCCTTGCAAGCCTCCATCACTGTAAACGCCATTACGTAAATCAAGCAAAAAAAGATTAGGTGTGTTCAAAACTATTTCATCCATAAAATTATACGCTAATGATAAAGTTTCCAAGGTTTGAGATGTGATAATTACCTTACGCAATCCATGATTGTGCGATAAATCAATCCTTTTGATGTTAGGTGTATTAAAGTCCAGATTCCAGTTGATTTCTTTAATAGCATTTCCAGAAAGAAAAAGGTCTTTCAAGTTTGGTAAGCCGTTAAAATCATAATTTTGTACATCTTGGATTTCATTGTTTTTTACATCCAGGTATGTCAAGCTTTCAGATTGAATATTTAATCGAGTTAAACTATTATTACTTAAATACAGATGTGTTAACGCTGGCAAAGATGTAAATTCAAGATCATCTAGTCCTCTGATTCCAAAAGACTCGAAATGCAAGTCGGTTTTATCGATGATTTCTTGTTGATCAAATAATGTCACTGCATTAGTATAGTATGTACAAGCAAGTAGTATAATCAAACATGCCCATTTCTTTGTATATCCAGGTGTGAGCAGACAAATAGATGTTATTAAAACAATCATAATACTCATAGGTCGTAATTTTGTACCGAGAGAATTTTGTCTTTTTTCGGGATTTCCTTCAGGTACTTCAATCAAAATTGTTTGATCAGTCGGAGTTAAAGTTGGGTGACATGGTACACCATTAAACATCTCAAGGTGCTCCAATTTTATACACACTTTATCATGTGTATCTTTAAAATTACGTCCGGTTATATTTAAGGTTTTAAGATGTTGGAATATTTTCAATGATGAATTCGGTAGGTTTGTCAAACTGGTATTCTTCATACTTAAATGTTCAAGCGTTATTTCTGCGTCATTTTCAAGTGATTCTATTGGATTATCATCAAGAATAAGCGTACGCAGACGTGGATTATTTGACACGAATAGTAGATTAAATTTTGTTAACTTTAAGTCGATTAGAACAATTTTTTCCAGTTCTAAGTAGCAATAGAAATGGTCCAGGTCTTCAACACGATTTAGATTGCATGATATTGCATTTAGTGTTGATACATATTGTCTGTCTTGAGGAATTATTATAGTTTCCCATGCTGAACTTAGAGGTTCACCTGGCGATGGTTCGCATATGGTGAGTGATGGACTATCAACGCTTCTTTTAATTCTACGTCCTGAACCAATTTTACATTCGAGTATTCTTTCTTCTGATTGCTCCCCAGCAACAATTGCAGCGAACAAACTAAAATATAAATTGTTATTTTCTTTATAAGTTTGTTAAGTTATTGAGATATGTATACATACCAATTCCAAAGAATTGCGTACAAAAATATTTTCAACATGCTTGCTTCAAGTGCGTTTAGTATCTCACCTAATAACTGGCAAACACAAGGAACGCCTATATTTATAGATCGTATAATACATTTTTATCTGTATGTTATCTTTGCTTTATCGTATTGATAAACAAATTTATCGCAAATGTTTGATTAAAAAAACGAGACAGTACAACGTTTTACTCAATATTTATTACCAAATTATTTTCAATAAAGTGAATAGGACAACAAAAGTTCGGTTCAAAAAAATAAATTATCAATGGTATTAGTATTTCGTCTCAAATCAGTTTTACATCATATCAGACCAACACAACATTCCCTTCAGTAAAACTTTTATAAAGAATTTTCAGAAAAAAAATCAAAAAACTTGGATTCTTGAAAATTAATCCTTTTATCAAGTTTTAATATAACTGTTTTAACTAAATCATAAAATTCTATCAATTTTAATTAATAAATACCTATTTTAACATATTTTTGACGGAACTAAGTTATAGTTTTCATTAAGTTGATTTTGAAATAAAATATGCTTCAAAGATAAACACGTGAAGCAATTTTGAATTTAATTATGCGTGTATTTAGCTTCATAAATGTTAACATTTGAGTTAAATTGAAGGCAGTAGCAACCCGTGCAATTTTACTTTCAGATGTAAATTAAATGACTTTATTGCACATTTCAATTGCAAATGCAAACCCCGAAAGTTATCTTAAAGCGAGGTGCATAAGCTCAAGTTGCATGTATATTGGATGAAGAGCTTATAGGTAAGCTATGCGCATGTACGTACAATTGGACATCTGCACTAGTAATGTTGTAATCTGTTTCCACAGCGATAGAAGTTAGAAGTTAGTTAATTAAGTGCATAATTAGAGTCTACATACTCAACTAAAACATAAAATATTTAAAAATAAGAGTTAAATGTTTTATTTCATTTAAAACTAAACAAAACTATGCAATAATTCACATTTTTCTTTTACACTATTAGTTAAGATTAGTTAGCACAATATGCTCAATATACCATATGTACAATCCAACATAAAACATTACAAAAATCCAATATACATATATAGTATCAATATAAATTGCCCAACGTTGGATTATGTAATGCCAGCACGCTTCAATTTAACGGCTGAATGTGTCTCGAAGCGATGCTGTAATGTCCCTCATATGTCAAATACAGCACAAAGTGAGCATGTGCCAAATTTGTAAATGGACGCAAATATTTCTTTCAAACGATCACAATTCAACCATTTCTAGAGCAAACGTATTTTTTTATAATATTGCAATATGATCCCCATTTTCGTCTTGTGAAATTTATTCATGTATTTTTTCATAATTATATTCTTCTACATTTAAAATGGCAGTTTTGTTATGGCCGTGACTAAAGGCCGTGACTAAAGTACTTTAATATGTTTTCTTAAAACTTTTGCAGTAAACAAAAAATGTTATAAGTGTACATTATCTTACACAATAGAAGTACATAAAATTATCATAACTAAAAGTTATAGTTCTTGCCACAGACTACTTTAAATATTTACCGTACACTAAACTTTGCACTTTCTATTCCCTTCGGCTCGTCATAAACAAGATCCCTAAGGTTTGTGCAGGACATAAATTTTACTGTTAGCTTTCCCGTTTTACCTTTTCAAACAGAATTTCTACATAATGTGAGTCTTTTGTGACTTGGTCCATCTAATGTATCTGTTGTTGAATATAATACCTTTCCGGAGGGATCAGTTCTCTTCTCTCCTGGAATTTTGAAAAGACGTGTTTTTGCAAACACTAATCTTTTTAGTTGATACTCTTGATATACTATAGGTCATTCTAAGTACAAGATTTACTAGGCTTTAATTAATTTGTATAAATATTATGAGAATTAATTTATATTCTGTATCATTTTATGTCTTTATTGCAAGGTATTTTTTAAATGTTTTATTCTTTATAATTTCTTGTTTGTCACTTAAATTAAACATCAAAGCGAAAGTTACGCTTACCAGGCGTTCGCGACCTCTCCGGTGTTACTTGGTCTGTGATCTCTCATTTTTAAATTAATTGTAATTATACTTAATTCAAGCGAAATTTTGCGTGCTGTTTGATGTTGTGTTTCCAATTTACTTTAGTTATTATTTACTTTTCAGGAATTTCGTTTGTAAAATAATTAAGCTTTAATGGGAATCGTGCATTGCCTTAGATATTAATATAATCGAAATTAAAATTAAAATTAATTAAAAGCGGAAAAATAGTAATGCATTATAGGTTAACAATTATCACGACCACATCACGAGCACATTCCACCAATTAAAGCAAAAAACCAAAATGTTTTGAAGTACTGAGTGCAATCATATAATAATTTATATTTGATATTGATGTGTCCTTGATGCACGTCTTGTTTTCCTTTTCTAACTAATAAAATTAATATAATCGATTATTTGTTATTAAAGTTTGAGGTCGTATCGCGGTAGACAGGTCGAGTGGAAACTATTTCATAATTATGTTGAGCAGTCCTTAGATTTTTTCAACTATTAAAACATTCAAATATTTATTGTATTCAGTTACATATTTAAATAATTTTAAATACCCATATTTAATTATTACACAAAAAAATATATGTACCTATGTATATTCTTTGGTAGAGGATTTATTCCTGACAGCTTGATGTAATGTAAAGTTTGCAGCATTTTATTGTAATGTGAGGTTTTAGTATAGTTAATCTTTTTGTCAGATGCAAATGTGCTGCTGGTAGGTATTTACATACATTAATCACGTGCAAGCATTAAAAGTAAGCAAACACATACTGTACTTGAGCTGCGTAATCTCCCGAATGGGATTATGTACAATTTATTATTCATGTTGTATTTTTGCTGAAATAAATACACGCGAATTTTAAAGGAGTTTCAGTTGTATTCTAAATGACTACTACTATAAAAGAATAATAATCAAAATTGTCAACAGTAAGGTTAGGTAATTTCAGAACATTAGTTTTGCATTAGTTTCAAGATAAATGTGTTATCTTATCGTATGAAAATATTCTTTAATTTAGAAGGTACTGAGATTCATTTATAATCAAACAAATTTATAATAAACAAACACTTAAAAACATAGTACTTCAAACTAATTAATGTCTTGAAACTTTCCTGTTGTGCAATTCCAATCAAACAATTTCGCTTGGGTAACAGTCGCAATCCAATTATCCGATTATAACAATGAAGCTGACTGTGGTGGTGTGAACTTTGCAAGCGTGTTACTTATTAGCAATGTAAAACACATTGTTTTTGCTTTGGGTTTCTTTTACTAGTACTCGTTATCTTTTGTGATGCTTATTCAATCAGATTCATTAGAACATCGAAGAAATTTTGTTTGAAAGTCAGTAAAAACAATACAATTAAAACAGAATTTTACTCAGCGTTATTAAATATAAGAGAATCCGGATCTATCGATTTGTTAAGATTGCTAAAAGCTTTACAATATGTTGTCGATAATGAAATTATTCATTTTTAAGTTTTTCTGTATTTGTTTTAGTTTTCCTGCACAATTGTCTATTCTATTATCAATATTTAATATTTGCAAGGATAGCGAACATTCTTGGAATATTGTCATACGGTCTGAATAGGAGAACTCAATTGTGGCGGCATTGTACCAAATTATTCCCTCTGTTCCCGGAATTGCACGCCATTGTGTGGCAACAGGAAATTGGCTTCGTTACCCAAAAGCCGCACACAACAATTAAAATTACTCACTGCCATCAAATACCAAAGAGCCGTAAATGACCGACTCTACGGATTTGAATTGTTCAATAAAGACATTTCAAACTCTGATTATATTCATCAGGGAAGAGTATGTATATGTACGTATATTATTTGAAAGTTTGATCAAATAATGGTGTATGTACACGTAGAACTTTTGTAAATACTCGAAAGACAAAAATTACATTTGAAAAGCCATGCAATGTAGTAATCGATATAATAAACTTTATAAAATCGGTTTATAATCTAACTTCAAAATCTATATCAAACTTTTCTGAAAACTAGGTGTTACTTTAACACTATGATTGAATATTATTACTTTTTGTTAGTGAATATTACACTTTAATCTGATAAAAGCTTATAGTTTACACGCAAACGTTATTCTACGTCGCCATAAAATATATTTATACCTATTTTATTAATTAACGGGTTTTTAGCAGTTTAATAGCAGATTTATATCTTAAAGTATTGCATTGTTACATCAGATATGCCATTTTTATATTATTTTTCTTCTTACACCTTTAAAATGTCAGTTTTTTCATGTTTTTGGGCACAAAAAGTGCTACTTTAGTACTTTAGTCACGGGTTTTAGTCACAGGGTGGAGCTTGCGCCTGCGCATTTGCCTACGGTGCAGCACAAGACCATATAAAGTCACTCAAATCGCGGGAAAACTTAATATACTAGTTTACTAGATTAGTATTTATTATTGCAATCAGCACAAATTATGTTTCTCACAGTAACAATATCTGAGATTAAATAAAAGCTGGAAATTTTATTTTAATCCACTTTTTAAGTATCTCCAAATGTTGTTTCGAACTGTATTCATCCAACGTTGAACGTGGCAACTCACCAAAGTTTGGTTTGTTTAATTTGCTGGATCGGCCGGAGCCACGTAGTCGAAGTACGTGCTCCCAATGTGGCAGTCGACTCAACCAAAATGCCTGGAATTTCTATCACGTCCTCTCTATTATAACTTTTTCGGGATTCGCGATCGCCTTTTGGAAGTAGTTAAATGAAAAGAAGCACTTTAATTAATGCCGATGTAAATCTCTCGTATCTCGGATGGAAATAAAACAAACGTCGTGGACTTTTATTCAAATATTTGTTTTATTCATTTTTCAATCAGCACTGAATCGAATAATTAAAAAGTAAGAAGAGCAGTGCGCGTCTCTCGAAGAATAATTGATGACCTTTCCTTGAAAATGAAAAATGGGAGTCGTTGGAGGGAAACATGAGGCGCAGCATCTGTAATCGAATGAAATCATTACGTCAAATTTCAATATTGAATTCAATTCGATGTTAAATTTTAAAA